TAAAAGCACACGAAGCACTCACCAAATTAAAACCATTATAAATAGTCACTCTGGAAAAGAATCGTCTAGCTCATGTCTTCCCTAGGAGCCTAGGAATCGAAGCACAGGAACTAAATGGAACATTTGGAAATAACAAATGGTACAGCCCTCCAGAGACTCTGCCATTTCAGTCTGCAAGTGAGGAAAACATGCTTTAATGTTTCCCAAGGAATAATAATGCATTTCCCGAATACAGGAAAGGCAGGGGAAGGGAACAAGGCAGAAAGGAAGCAAACCTACCTACAGTTCCCACTAAACAAGTAGTATTGGGAGAAGAAAACAAACATTTGTTACAAAACAGACCCTAAGCAGAAGCTTTACCTTCTGCAAATGCCTGTTTCCCATAGGCACTCAAGTTCGGAACTTGCAATAATATAATCTTAGAGTTGGAAGAGACCTCATGGACCATCCAGTCCAACCGCCTGCCAAGAAGCAGGAAAATGTTGTGACTCAGCTGGAACCACAGAGTGTCTCTGATGAGGATGATGGGATTCAGGTTCACAGCCTGGTTCAAAATGTCCCCGTTATAGACAGTGAAGAAGGGCAGTTTCCCACAGCAAAGAATGAAAGTGTTGATACTGAAAATAGCCAGGTGCAGCTGCAGTTTGACTCAGAGAAGGAGGACAGTTCTCAGCCTGATAATGCTAAATGAGCAAGCAGGGAAACAGGCTGACACTAATGAACAGACTGACCTTGATGAAATAGGAACCTTAGATCAGGCTGACCGTTTGGAATTCAGAGTTCGAAGGAGTGTGAGAATAGCTAACAGGAAGGAGGCCAGAGGCCAGAGAAACGCCTTCATGTTTTGCAAAGGGTGTGTTTGCAAAAAGCAGTGTTTTTGAGACCAAATCTTTGTCAAAGCAACTTTGCATTTAACCAAGAAGCTTGCCTTAGCTTATATAGATTATCTTGCAGTCCTTGTGTTCATGTTTTCCGGACTTTGCCATGTCCTCTTGGGTTTTTATATTGCTGGTGCCTTTTTGGATTAATCTTCAAAGTGCTATTTTATATTGATCTTTTATATTGATCTTTTGGAACATTACCTTTGCTTTTAAGAACTTTTTCACCTTTTATTTTTAATAAACTATAAAGACTTCTGGATGTGCGCAGTTTGGTGTTTTTCAGCAAGGTGAATCTACTCTGAGGTGCAAGAGAAAATCACATTCAAAACAAAATGCCATGTTAGTCCAGCAGATGAGAGAGATCTCAGCTAGAGTCCTATATCACCCTGTATGTCAATGTTTCTCAACCTTCCTAACGCCCCTTAATACAGTCCCTCATGTTGCGGTGACCCCCAACCATAAAATTATTTTTGTTGCTACTTCGTAACTGTAATGTTGCTACTGTTATGAATCATAATGTAAATATCTGATATGCAGGATGTATTTTCATTCACTGGACCAAATTTGGCACAAATACCTGCTACGCCCACATTTGAATACTGGTGGGTTTAGGGGGGGATTGATTGATTTTGTTATTTGGGAGTTGTAGTTGCTGAGATTTATAGTTCACCTACAATCAAAGAGCATTCTGAACTCCACCAACGAGGGAATTCAACTTGGCACACAGAACTCCCATGACCAACAGAAAATACTGGAAAGGTTTGGTGGATATAGACCTTGAGTTTGGGAGTTGTAGTTCACCTACGTCCAGAGAGCACAGTGAAGTCAAACAATGATGGATCTGGACCAAACTTGGCACAGATAATCAATATGCCCAAATGTGAACACTGGTGGAGTTTAGGAAAAATAGACCTTGACATTTGGGAGTTGTAGTTGCAGGGATTTATAATTCACTTAAATCAAAGAACATTTTGAACATCACTAACGATAGAATTGGGACAAACTTCCCACACAGAACCCCCATGACTAACAGAAAACACTGTGTTTTCTGATGGTCTTTGGTGACCCCTGTGACACCTCCTCACAACCCCTCTGAGGGTCCCGACCCCCAGGTTGGGAAACACTGCTGTATGTAATGTAATCATAGGGCATCAAGGACAGGACCACATTGGTCCCAATGACCATCAGTCCCTTCGCTGGCTTCTCTACATAACCCCTTTTCTTGAAAGTGGAATCCATTGGCTCATGTTTTGGTCTCTGGAGCAGCAGAAAACAAGTATGCACTATTGTCTTTGTGGCAAAGAAAGAAATACATCTAAATAGAAATTGGGGAATGAAATAAGCTGTATGGCTTTTCATAAACTATGCCCAAGTCAGGAGGCAGCAAAATATGTCATGCCAAAAATGTTGAAAAACAATCAACCATCTCAAAAGAAGAGACCCAAACAAACTTGCTAATGCTGCATAAGATGCAAAGTACAAACAGTACAGCTCAATACTGTTGGCATTTTGGAAGTCAAACTCATGATCAACAATTGCTAAGTGAGAGTCTGTAATGAAATCTTGGAGAGTTGGTTTCTAATAAAATATAAAATTTCAGTCTTGAAAAACCATCGTATCTCTGTAGCATTGAATCCACCCTGCTGTAATTGACTTAAATCTTGCTCAATCTTCTTTAAGGCAGCCACAGACTTTAAAAAAAATCTCTCCTGCTACAAATGAATGTGGCTCTGACCTGTTTGCAGCTGCTTCCCTTTGAAATCTTACACACAGAAATGGGTGGTGAGAAAGAAATGACATTAAGCAGCACCAACTGATCCCCTCCACTGGACGGTTTGGAGGATTACTTGTCTGAATATTTCCCCTCATATGCCGGATAGAAGAGCACCACGCAGCTGCCAAAAAGGCACAGGTTCAAAGTATTTGTTTTTAGTATGCCGAGTTTACAACATAGACTTTAATCTCACAAAAGAGGAAAGTGGGGCTGAGGCCCCAAGAAAGAATGCTATCATTAAAAATAATCTTTGTTGGATTAGTGGGGGGGAAATGGGCATGAGCCAAGGTCATGGTGCCTCTTTGGCAACTCCTTCTAAAGCCAAGAGGTCACACAGATGGTGTTGCAAACAAGCCATTAGGACACAGCACTTCGTCCGGCTGCTTCGAATACCACTGGCTGCCCACCTGGCTGGATGAGGCTTCTGCCAAAGTATCATCAAACATCATCAATCTCATCAGCACCAATTGGTGGTCAGTTTTCCCACAGAGTCTCAAGAAGCACAGGGCAATTTGTGTGGATTTGTCTTTTCAAATCTACACAACAGAGAACAATTCAAGATAAAATGACGGCACCAAATACCAGGTAAATCAAGAATTCGCTAAAGAAGCCAAAGCCCTTGGTATGAAGTCTGTATTGTTACACACAGTAAGATGTGCCCCGCTTGATGTGTTAGGTATAAGGAGCCTGGAAACTGACACTAATTTCAGGTAAAATGTCAGCAGAAACTAGCAGACAAGGCAAACATTATTATCATTATCATTATCAATAATAATAATAATAATAATCTGGTTATTCCACAGATATATAAACCCATTTTCCTAGTTCTGACAGACCTCACTACCTCTGAGGATGCTTGCCATAGATGCAGGCAAAATGTCAGGAGAGAATGCCTCTAGAGCATGGCCATATTGCCCGAAAAAACCTACAACAACCCAATAATAATCTGCTTTTCCTCTGCAAAGAAGAGACTCAAAGCGGCTTCTAGAGCAGGCATGGACAAACTTCGGCCCTCTGGGTGTTGTGGACTCTAACCAGCTGTTAAGAGTTGTGGGAATTGGAGTCCAAAACACCAGGAGGGCCAAAGTTTGCCTGTGCCTGCTCTAGAGGAAAGAGACAAGGAGGTTTGAGTCAGAAGAGCTATATTTTACTCTGAAGTAACCTTTGGCATTAAAGGAAACTAATTATGTGCTCAGTAAAGTATGCATTTTAAACCTGCCATTAGAATCTTGCCATCCTCCGATTGCATAGGACCCTGAAGCCTTCTCTACAAGTCTCCGACACTCAACCCATCCTCAACTTGAGGAAAATGGGATATTTCTTTTCTTGAAAGCCATGAAGAGAAAGTTTGTCCTAAAATAAAGTGAAGATCTGTCTAGAACTAACTTTCCTCCCCAAAACCTGATGGGAATAGCACGAAAGAGAGGTTCTGGGTAGAGATGGTAAGTGATGGGTCTAGGGACAATAATCTAACTCCTAAGATTTCTGGAGCTTGTCCACATCTGAGTAAGTAAATACTTATGTTTTGCTTGGATAGTTACTTGTTAATCAGATACAGATTTTCTATATATTTTGGATTGGGGAACAAAATGAAAAGAGGCAAAAAGGAAAGCAAGAAAGACAAAAAGAGTATGGAAATGGGGATGAAAATATCCCAGAGAAAGTCATGGGAATCACTAAAATCTTGGCCAAAACCGATAGAAAATCAGCCAAACTCACATCTGTTGTCCAGGTTCAGGTGCCAAATTCTTTACCATCCACTACTTATTATTGTTTATAATATTATAAATACAATATAATACTAGTAATAATATTACAATATTATAATTATAATTATATATTTACATTACATGTAATATTACTAATAATATTACAATATGATGGTATAGTGCAATATAGTAATATATAATACTGATATTGTACTATGCTAATAATATAATATATTGTATGAAAATATATATTGTAAGCCGCTCTGAGTCCCCTTCGGGGTGAGAAGGGTGGCATATAAATGCCATAAATAAATAAATAAGTAAATAAATTGTGAATTCTTACAGTATCAGTGATACACCATGTGCCAGATCTCACATTTCAATGACAAATAAGGCTACCTACTTTATAGTTGTGCATTTCTTGGATCTTTTGAAAACAGCTTGGCTTGCAATAAATTAGGGAGGCAAAACCTTTCTGAGCATGAGATGAAATGATAGGCAAAGCCCAGACTATTTAATTTCTGTATATCAGACTAGTATCTAAAGGCACATGAACTGAACCTGTAAAAAAAACCCCATAAATAAATGGGGAATGTGCATACACAACCCCGGCCAGCTGTCAGGCACTTCTCTTACCCGGATGCGCTTTGCTCGCCGCATGTCATCTGCGGTTATCATACTCTGGGTAGCCACAACAGTCTGTTCATGTGGCTGGAGCTGCAACGGGTGGTTCTCAGGCTGTTGATCCAAGGAGGTCTCTGGCGGCACCGGTGTCTGTTCCGCTTGGTCCAGTCCATTCAGAGTGGCTTGCCCAGCTTCATCAAACTGCCCTTTGCTAGAGAAATGCAGCAAGTCCTGAAATCCCAAATCAAGCAGACAGTTGGTGGTTAATTCCTCCTTCCTGCCTTTCAGCATTTCTGACCTGTAGTAATTGAGGCCAGGACCACAAACAGACTACAAACAGAATTCCCTTGTTCTGGGACTCAGATAATTGTGAAAAGTCAGTTCCAAGTAACTGCCTACTTTATAACCACAACAACTTATCTTTGAAAGGTGGCATTGAGTTACATAGACACACTCCTAAAGTGATGGTTTGCCTAAGTACTATGAGTGTCACTACTATGAGTACTTGGTACTTTTTTGGGGACTCCAAGTGTTTGGGGACTCCAAGCAATTGGATGAATTTTATTATGGTTTCAGACCAGGAGTTGAATACAATTACACAGATCCATTTCCAAATTTTACCAGATTTTTTTTCACCTGCTCTCTCTAACAATACCTGCGTCTCTTCCACACATTTTCCTCCATTTTCATTTGCCACTTCCAAGCGCATGAATTTAGGAGGCCGGCCTGGTCGCCGGCCTGGTCCAAATCTTCGCTTTCCTCGTCCGCGCCCTCTGCCTCTTGCCCTGAAAAGAAAACTGGATTAGAAGCAATGGAGGGAGCTCTTAGCACTCTCTTAGCCGTTACAATACTCAGCCAATCCGTTCCATTCGGCAAATGTCTAAAATGGGGTGGAAAACCTATGCCCTTCAGATATTGTAGGAGTTCAACTCCTCATCAAGCCTTAAATCAACATGGTCAGGGATGGTCAGGGATGGTGAGAGATACAGTCAACACTAAGAGAGATAGATGTTGTGCATCCTTGATCTGAGATAAAACATCTGTAAATAGTTTGTCAGACAGACCAATATTAAAGAAGAGGCATTCATATCTGCTGCAGGACCCTCTTAATATCAGTAGGAAACAACTGATCTTTGTACGTTCCTCATGGGAAACTTCTCACCCTTCTCCAGCCTCTTTGTCAAAGAGGAATATTCAAGGAACAATCCTACTGGCTCAATGGAAAAGTTTGTTTTGTTTTGCATTATAATTCTGGGAATCTCCCATTATCTATGCCAGGCATGGGCAAACTTCAGCCCTCCAGCCTACCAGCTGTTAGGAATGATGGGAAAGTTGGAGTCCAAAACACCTGGAGCGCCAAAGTTTGCCCATGCCTGGCCTATGTTGATTGGCGGATTCTGGAAGATGGAGTCCCAAAAAGTAACTTTCCAAGTGGTCGTAAAATTTGGAAATCGACTTTGGGCAAATAAACAAACAAATACCTGCTAAAGAAGTCCAACTTTTCATCATGGGAGTCGAGGTGCTGCTGGAGCTGTTCCGAGCTCATAAACCGTCGGTTGCACTCATAACACGGCCAGTGTTTTTCTTGCTCTCGGAGAACTGTATTTTCAAATTAGATCACTTATTAACAAAACTCCAGACATCACCATGTTTTTAGTTCTCCATCCAATGTTTCACCCCCTTCCCCCCTTGGCCTTCCAATGGATATTTCTGGATGACTAAGAACATTTTTACTTATAGGTTATATGACATGTAACCTGTAAGCAAAACATGGAATCCTGATCAGTTTCAGAAAGGCAAAGGGGATAATAATCAGGTCGAGGGAGGAGGAAAGCTTGAAGAAGAATGAATATAATGACATGCTAAGGATATACAATATATTTAAATACCCTAAAGGCATTAAATCCTATGCAACATGTGCTGGTTTCACCTGTTACCTTTCATTCTTTGCCTGGGCAAAACAGAACAAGAACAAGGAAATATGGAGCAGATGAAGTGACAGTGGTATACAGGGCTTGCGCCTTCATCCCATCAAGGGTTTTAGTATAACAATGTCAACAATGCATATCAGTGGTTCCCAACCTGTGGTCCATGGACCATTAGTGGTCTGCAAGAATGAAAATATGGTTTGTGGCCTCACCATTACTACACCGTTGCCTCAAAACCACATGGCAACAAGAACAACTGGTCTCGCAAAACCCTCTTATAGTGCCAAGGCAATGGGGATGTCAGGAGGGGAAAGGCTGACTACCCACAAAAGATTACTACTACCACATCAGCTCTAGTTATTAAATATGGTTTTCTGTGGGCAAGCAGGTGGTGATTACTGGATGGCATATGTTCTGTATCAGAAACTAGAGCTGATGTGGTCTATCCAATGCAACTTTCTGAATCAGCACCCCAAATAACCAAACCGAATCTAAAGTTGACCAAAAACTGATTCGTAACCCTTTTGGTACTAATGTTGGAGAGTGGTCCCTGGTCAAAGTGGTCCCTGGTCAAGTGGCCCCTTGTCAAAAAAGGTTGGGAACTACTGCCATACGTGTCAGGAGCAAACCAAACAGTTGTATTGCATTTGTTTCACAAACAAATGTTCCCCAGGAACAATATAAGTGTAATGGCTGTCCACTTTTCAACAGGAATACATAGAATACTCACTGGGACTGTGGTGCAGCTGGCTGGGAGTCAGCTGCATTAAGATCACTACTGACCAAAAGGTCATGAGTTCGAAGCCAGCCCAGGGTCAGAGTGAGCTTCCGACCATTGTGTAGCTTGCTGTTGACCTTTGCAGCCCGAAAGACAGTTGCATCTGTCAAGTAGACATTTAGGTACCACTTATGAGGGGAGGCTAATTTAACTAATTTACGAGGCCATAAAAATATCCAGCAAGCATGCGGGGAATGAGGAAGTACTTCATCGGTGTCACGGATGGACTGTGAAGCGACAGCTCCCCTGGTGGCCTGAAAAAGTTAGAATGTTAAATAGCCTCTGACTTGTCTATATATGTTGTGTGTCTATGGCATTGAATGTTTGCCAGGCAGGATCGATAGCAGGGCCTCCCCACATGATCTTAAAGTCCTAGATGGTTCATAAGATGGACCTTTTGTAGTCCGAAAGACAGTTGCATCTGTCAAGTAGGAAATTTAGGAACCACGTATGTAGGGAGGCTAATTTAACTAATTTATGAGGCCATAAAAACCTCCAGCAAGCATGCTTGGAATGAGAAAGTACTTCATCGGTGTCGCAGATGGACAGTGAAGCTCCCCTGGTGGCCAGAAAGTTGGAATATTAAATAGCCTCTGACTGTTTGTTTATATATGTTGTGTGTCTATGGCATATATGTACATTGTAATCTGTCCTGAGTCCCCTGCGGGGTGAGAAGGGCGGAATATAAATACTGTAAATAAATAAATAAAATAAATAAGATAATGCAATACCACTTTTCACTAACTTTTCTATCTGTTGTGATGGCATGAGTAAGAGAACATTCCTGGAAGCTGTGAAGGGATACCAGATGATGACACAGCTTTGCCTGGCTAATATAGATTTGGGAGATATGGCGCACCACCTGTTGTGAGTTGTTGCCAAACTAATTGCTTGAAATAGATGGATGGGGCAGGCTATTTTCAAAGAGGTTCTCAGTAATAGAGATTCTGTGCAACAAAACATGGCAATGCTTAGCCTAGACCAGCCACCAGCCTATTATTTCTGAGGTTTTCTGTCCACCAGTATGTTTGCACAAAGCAACTGCAATTTTATTTTTTCCCCTTTGTCAAAGATTATGATGACAGTCACTGTACATCATCCATCACAGTGATGGGGCATTGAAAAGAACTGGATTCTGGACAGCCGGCCACATTTGCCAACTCAAAGTATTCCAAAATGCACCAAAGCCAGCTTCTACTGACACTGAATACTACTAAGCAGAAATATTTTCAACAGCAAAAGGAGTTCAACAATACTGACTTAAAATAAAAGACGTTATTACTGAGTCTGGCTTCGACTGACTATGCCAAATGGTATCTGTTACAAATAAGACAGCAGTACCTTTTCTTTCTTCCTCAGACACATCATGGATCTTCTGATTGACAAATTCTGCATATGAGGCAGCATACCACACCTGCAACAGATGGTATGAAATGTTAAAAAAAATCTAAAAAGAGAGAGCGCACATAAATGATTTCACTATCACAATCACTCTAATCCTAATGTCAGGGAGCATGCATAGAAGTTATTCTGTTTTATAGGAGTCCCCAGTGGTGCAATGGGTTAAACCCTTGTGCCGGCAAGACTGAAAACCGACAGGTCGGTTCAAATTTGGGGAGAGTGTGGATGAGCTCCCTCTGTCAGCTCCATCTCCTCATGCGGAAACATGAAAGAGGCCTCCCACAAGGATGGTTGTTGTTTATTCATTCAGTAGTACGCGCTGGGCCTGTAACAGCTGTACTTTTTTATAGGACGTATACTTTAAGCCCAGCGGGAAGCCAGGGGCGCCTCAAAGAGAGGTTCTCAGGGATTTTTCTGAAGTGGTGGTCTTTAGAGTCTTTAATGATGCAACAAAGTCTTTATTATGGAACAAACAACAAATCTTCAATGGTTCAAACAACACTTCAAGGCTTTCTTAGTCTAGTCCTCAATGGACTGGTACCTGACTTTGATTAACTAAACTTTCTCTGTAGGAAAAACCCTTTTTAACCTCTCCCAGGCTGCTTTCTATCTATGCCTCATCGGTGTGGGACCTACTACCAACTCCAAATGCATCTGGGTATCGAGTAGACCTACCAGCCGAGGCTTGAAGATATTTCAGCTGGAGTTCCATGGATCTATAATGCTGTTCTCCCTTCGAGAATTCTTAGAAACTTCAGGGCTGTTCCCTCTGATGCTGTGAGACTGAGAGGCTGTGAGCTCTCAGCCAGAGCTTTTGAGACCTTTCTCCTGGAATTTCTGCTTCTGTATCCCCGGATGTTATTTTTCCCTGGATGCTATTGAGAAAGGAAGCTTTTCTAGTGGGACGAGCTGGTCTACGTCCTATAGCTTAGCTACCTTGTGTGAGACTGACCAAAAAATGGCTCCTTTCCCTCCCAGAGCCCAGAACAAGGGGCGGAACCAAAGCTTAATTATGATGGACAGGAGGCCTCTCCTATGACTGCAAAACAGATAACAGAAAGAAAATAAAGTTGGAGCTCCTGGTACAGCCGTACCAGCACAAGTAGCTTCCAACMCCATGATCTCATGGACCAGCCCTGTCAGCCATCACCACCCCACAYCTCCTTCAAAGTCAAGCCAGTCACTTCAAGGATACRATCCATCCATCTTGCCCTTAGTTGCCCCCTCTTCTTTTTTCCTTCCATTTTCCCCAGCATCATTGTCTTCTCCAAGCTTTCCTGTCTTCTCATTATATGGCCAAAGTACTTCARCTTTGTCTCTAATATCCTTCCCTCTAGTSAGCTATTGGGCATTATTTTCTGAAGTATGGACTGGTTGGATCTTCTCACGGTCSAAGGCACTCTCAGAATTTTCCTCCAACACCACACTTTAAAAGCKTCTATCTTCCTTCGCTCAACCTTCCTTATGGTCCAGCTCTCACATCCATAGGTTGCTATGGAGAATACCATTGCTTTAACTATGCGGATCTTTGTTGCCAGTGTGATGTCTCTACTCTTTACTGTTTTATTGAGATTGGACATTGCTCTCCTCCCAAGAAACCCTTCAAAACATCTGGGTGTCCCCTGGGCAACATCCTTGCAGACGGCCAATTCTCTCACATCAGAAGCGACTTGCAGTTTCTCAAGTCGCTCCTGACACACACAATGTTTGATAATCACTCTATCCTACAGAGAGATAGATAGACGGACAGATGATAGATAGATAGATAGATAGATAGATAGATAGATAGATGAGATAGAGACATAGATATTGGCCCACTGATGGAACTTCTTGGCCAACCAGCAATACAAGCACAAGTATCCTGGGTTGCTATGAGTTTTCTGGGCTGTATGGCCATATTTCAGAAGCATTCTTTCCTGACTTTTCACCCACATCTATGGCAGGAATCCTTAGAGGTTGTGAGGTCTGTTGGAAACTAGCCAGTGATGTTTATATATCTGTAGAATATCCAGGGTTGGAGAAAAACTGGCCACATTGATTGCCACAGACAAGAGTTCTTTCTCCCATCCTGGACATTCAATAGATATATAAGCCTCACTTACCTAGTTTCCAACAGACCTCACAACCTTTGAGGATGCCTGCTATATATGTGGGCAAAATGTCAGAAGAGAATGCTTCTAGAATGTGGCCATAAAGCCCGGAAAACTCCCAGTGACTCAATGATTCTGGCCATGAAGGCCTTTGACAACACACGTGTCCTCTTTCCACACTCAACATTCTGTTCATTATATAACATTGGGCTTCACTTGAATCTTACTCATTTGAGACACGCCTGACACTCTCGTGATAGAGAAAGAGAATAATAATGGATTGGATTGGAATTCAAGTACGGGCATCTTTATAAGTGAACATGAATTTCTATTGACGTGTCAAGAGGTCTTTTTAAGCATGTCAAGCCTTGAATATTTTCAACAGATTGCTCCTGTTGGGATTTCGTCTGCATTAGTTCACATGCTTCCTGATAGACCCCCTGAGAGGCAAAATGGATAAGCTACTCAACTTTCCTCACTAGTCTTCATTCACTGATTGCCATGACAATAAAGAGGAGTGGGAAGCACTTCTCAAAATGTCAAAAGTGATACTGAGGGAAAATAATATGCTACTCTCTTTTGCCTCTGTCACAAATCTCAGCTAAAATGATATAAAACAAACTAGCTGTACTCGCCACGCGTTGCTGTGGCCAACCTTCCCTCTTTCTCTCCTTCTTTCCCTCCTTCCTTCCTCTTTCCTTCCTTTCTTCTTGTCTTTCCTTCTCTTCTTCCTTCCTTCTCTATCTCTTTCCTTCCTTCCCCCTTTTTCTTTCTTTTCTGCTCTTTCCTTCCTTCTGTCTTTCCTTCCCTCCCTCTTTCTCCCTCTTTCCCCCTTCTTTCGCTCCCTCTTTCCTTCCTTCTTTCCCTTTTTTCTTTCCTTCTCTCTTTCCTTCCTTCTCGAACTTTCCTTCCTCCCCCCTTTTTCTTTCTCTCCCTCTTTCTCTTTTCTTCCATCTTTACCTCTTTCCTTCCTTCTCTCTTTTCTTCCATGCTTCCTTCTCCCTTTCCTTCTTTCTTTCCCGCCCTCTTTCTTTTCTTTCTTTTTCTTTTTTCTCTCCCCTTCCTTCCCTCTTTCTTCCCTTTTTTTGTATTGTCATTTAGCTTTTCATCATTTAGCTTTTGGGGGCTTTTAAAGTCCCTTCTGCTGTGTTTTTCAGTGTTTTTATGAGTGAAGGACATACATTGGGTTGTTAGGTGTCTTATGTCCAAATTTGGTGTCAATTCCCCCGGTGGTTTTTGAGTTCTGTTAATCCCACAAACGAACATTACATTTTTATTTATATAGATAAGGAAGCCATAACTGTGGTTCCATAAAGTAGGAATGAGAAAGCTCTAGTCCACAGGCCTGAAACAACCAAATGGTTGTTCATCTGCCGGCCTAAAAACAAATTTTGCTCTCATCCCCGATCAGTGATTAGATATAGGAAGTAATGTAAAGGTTGGGGAGGTATTTATTGAATGGTGCTACACCTTTCTACCTGCAAAAGTGATGCATAGAACTCAATTCTTAGGTTGCTGTGAATTTTCCAGGCTGACTCGGTCATGGTGCTCCACACTCTGGTTACAACCCGAACAGATTTCTGCAACGCACTCTACGTATGGTTGCCGCTAAAGACTGCCCGGAAGCTTCAACTAGTCCAACGCTCGGCAGCCAGGTTGCTCACGGGATTGGGGTACAGGGAGCACACAACACCCCTGTTACGCTAGCTCCACTGGCTGTCAATTAGCTTTCGAGCACAATTCAAAGTGCTGGTTTTAACCTATAAAACTCTACATGGTCTCAGCCCAGTTTACCTGTCCGAACGTACTTTCCCTATAAACCATCAAGGACTTTAAGATCTTCCAGGAAGGCCCTGCTCTCAGTCCCGCCACCTTCACAGGTGCATCTGGTGGGAACGAGAGACAGGGCCTTCTCTGTGCCCCCCCCCCCCCCGGCTATGGAACTCATATAACTGAACTATGTTTTTAAGCAGGGAAGCAGCATGATGGTTCAAAAGGTTCAAAATATGGATACAGGTCCAAAACACTGATGAGAGAAAAAGCAGCCTGAAATGGAATATAATTGAGACAGGAGAGTTGCTTTAAGTTTTTCAGACTGTATGGCCATGTCCCAGAAGCATTCTCTCCTGATGTTTCACCTGCATCTATGGTCACAACTTCTGAGGATGCTGCCATAGATGCAGGCAAAACGTCAGGAGAGAATGCTTCCAGAACATGGCCATATAGCCCAAAAAACATACAGCAACCCTGTGATGAAAGCTATGAAAGCCTTCGACAACACAGAGACAGGAGAGTTGCAGTTTAAATGGCTGTTATCCTCTTTCAATAACTCCATCTCTACTAAATTAGGAATAAAAAAGGATGGGAAGGGCAAAATAGGTGTTGAAGCACTAGATGTTGCTCCTTGGTTCCTGGCATGAGATAACTTTAGGCCAGAGGTCCTCAAACTATGGCCCGGGGGCCAGATATGGCCCTCCAAGGTCATTTACCCAGCCCTCGCTCAGGGTCAACCTAAGTCTGAAACTACTTGAAAGCACACAACAACAACAACAACAACAATCCTATCTCATCAGCCAAAAGCAGGCCCACATTTCCCATTGAAATACTAGCCTATACACATAATAAAAGAGAAAACTGTCTATGTGTGCATGTGGCAGAGGTGTCCACTTACATAGACATCCTCTGGTCACCACAAACAGGCTATAGTTCCAAGTGGTGAGAAGCCTCCAAAGGCACTCCCTCCACTGATGTTGCAGATTAGAGTGGGTGCCATGAACATGTAGCCCAAATGCTGCCAATGTCTTCCCTCAAACGCTGCGGCCCACTACCCAAGAAATGCTTTCATTCGGGGAGAACTTCGTCCTAGATTTGCCGTGTTTCCTCCATCACAGGTAGACATCCCAGGGTTCCTTGTATGGAATTT